CTCTAGATCATCTTCATTCGGGACCGCGTTTGCTCAATTGAGCGATTAATTATATCGGTTTTTACTAGTCTCCGTTGCATTTATGCGTTTTAGATGAATTTTTATTACATTTCTGTCGTGTTGATCAGTGACCAACCTGAAAGGCATATTACGAGGAGAACTCAGAGGATGTAGATTAAGGTCATCGGTACCATGAATATCGCTCACCATTTTGAAAAAACTTCTGTTAACTAGACATGGGTTGTGGTCGACGACACAAACAAAAATGCACATGGGGCCCAAGAAATGGGACCAAGCACGGATGTGAGCGAATGTTCCTCTTTTGGAGGGGTTACATCAAAAAAGAGATCGTCATGACACGACACGACAACTCGTCCACATACATTTTTCGTCGGCCACTATGCTATGATACATGTTTGGAAAAGCTGAAAAAATTCATGCATTATATCGTAGAAGGACATCAACGATTCAATGATGAAGAGTGCAAGTGCAAGGAAATAAAAGCCTAAACCGAACAAAATAATAAAAGAAGCTTGGTCGGTCGACAGCACGTTGATTATTGCTTGGCGTGAGATTGCAAGGAAAAATTTCTTTCATTAAACATAACTAAAAGTTGGTAAACGTTCACTATAGCAGGTTTTGCTTCGCCAGTATTGCAAAGCACCTGATAGCTTCTACTATTGCTGCCGCACAGACTGTTTGCAAATTCGTCCAGTCCAGTGGCGGCATGGCTCAAACCATTCTGACATATGCAGCCATCCATGCCGGAACCTTATACGATACAGTACCCAATTGTGACGTTATTTGGCTGTGAAAGTTTACGCAAATGAGCTAAATGCTGAACACTTTTGGAAGAACAATAAGGGGTTACCATCTGCTCGATGAACAGAAACGTTCACAGCAAACTCCAAAAAAGCTGACTTCTTGCTAGCTAGCTTGCTATCACCTCACTATTTTCTCTGACCACAAAATCTTTACGACCAAGCCAATCCTCAACAAGGGAAGCGTGGCGTTCTATCACGAAACGGTACTTCGATTCTGCGTCAGTCTATTCGGCAGTGCAGGTCCATTGGATCTACTCTCTCTGCACATGGCTCTGATTCTTTGTCTGGTTATCATGCAACAGTTGTCAGCGCTGCAACTCAATCCGTTTTCCACAAAACAAGAATGGTCCAAATTCCAACCGTAGGGCATGGTAATAGGTTGAGCATCTAACTAGCTACGTATATTTA